AAAAAAAAAAAAAAAAAAAAAAAAAAAAAAAAAAAAAAAAAAAAAAAAAAAAAAACACCTTTTTGAAATTTGGAATAGAGTTCAAGGTGTCAAACAAACAAACGAAACCAAACAAGCCCCATCTTTCGGACTTATTAGATATAGTCAAATAAATATTTGCCTCATTACCTTAAAAAATTAAATGAAGTTTAATTATTAGCTTCTAATTTAATATGCTAATTTCCAAGGAGACTAAGATAAATACCATAATTAAATAAAAACGTTTAAATACATGTTCATTGCTTCCTAAAGCGAGGCACTGTTACTACTCTATGGGACACCTGTATTCGGGAACTAAGCGTCGTTTCCATCCGCAGCCGACTCACCCAGGAGTAGTAGACGGCCTGCGTCTTGCTGTTGCTCACCAGCTCCCTGTTGCTCGCTGGGCTGAAGGTGAGATAGTTCTGAAGCATAAAGCATAGATGTGTTACATGAAAATAAACCTGTTTCTCGCCACTTCAGCTGTTACAATTAAATATTAATTTTAATGGAAACAGGTAACAGAGTAGGGATAGACTTGGAACCTGGGAAACAAGGAGAAGAACATTTAAGGAAGGAGTGTAAGATGCGCTCCCTTTACAAGGTTCATTTATTCCAAGGCATCATCTGTAACAAGCACAGACTAAGCTGTACCCACCATTTAGCTATTCATCTATTCTCCCCACACCACCCCACTGGGCACTGAACCCAGGGTGCGACAGCTACTGCAATCCACCCTTGAACAACGGCCTCTGCCCCGTCTCTAATCATCTTATTCTGTGCTTTTTCAGACAAAGGCTGATGAGCGCACACTTCAGAGACTGACAGGCCCACGAGAGATCTTGGAATGAATACGAGGCTTTGGGAGGGAGTTCCGATTGCTGCCAAGACAGTATGGCGTGAGTTGTTGGCACCCTTCCCAAAAATCGACACCACAGAAACTGTAGTGAGGCAAACGCTAAATGCAGAAACCAAACAATGGCCACAGTTATGGGAGAGAAACCCCGGGCTGGAAGATTTGAGCCTGTGCAGGGAGCAGGAGCTGCCAGCTGGGATGCTGGAGGCAGAGAGGCCTTGCACACGGTGAGGGTGAGCCCGAGGAAGCTGCTTCTGCCCCACCCCTGCCATTCCCCCCACCTCCAGGCCTATTTCTTGCCAATTGTCTGCCTACCTACAGTGTCAATGTGAACTGCCAATGCCTGTGTTGGACTCACAGGGCAGCACACAGGCCTGGGGTGATGCAGACTGACGGAAGGCTTGGACCAGACCTCCCCACGGCTGAAAACCGGTCTTCAGCCAGGGTTCTTTCTATTTAAAGTGTCTTTTCTGCCAAGGAAGTTATCTCCTGACCTGTAAATAACTGCTATGCTTCTTTTAGTTTCTTTTTTCTTTTTCTTTTCCCCTGAGACAGGGGCTCACTATGTAGACCAGGCTGGCCTGGAACTCACAGAGATCCACCTGCCTCTGCCTCCCATGTGCCAGGATTAAAGGTTACAAGATTGGTCATCATTTAGGGGAAATAGCCTTCAAAACTAAATAATAAAATAAAGACTGAGAAGGGAAGGCTTGTTTCCTAGAAGCATCTGCTCTTACTGGTCACGAGGAGGAAAAGCCCTAAATGCCCACTAACAGGACAAACAAGCAGTTGACACACCCAAGGCACACCAGTCAAAAATGAGAAAGGAAAAAGAAAAATATCTGTGACCAGTGTCACAAAGTAAGCTGAGTGACAGAAACAGGGCTGGCGAGATGGCTCAGCAGGCAAAAATGCCTGTGCTTGCTGCGCAAGCCTGACAGCCCGAGTTCAATCCCTGAAGCCACGTAGAGGCGGATTGAGTGTATTGAATTCAGAGCTTCCTTCTGATTTCTACACATGCGACTTTCCCCAAACACACGTGCACACAGTAATAATGATTATGAAATTAAACATTAAGAAGCCAAAACTTTCCGGGGTGGAAGGCAGTCTGGAAGAAAGAAAAAAAAGAAGGAAGGAAGGAAGGAAGGAAGGAAGGAAGGAAGGAGTATGAAGGTGAGATTCAAAATAGAGGAAAGAAGTAGCGAGATCTCTTCTAGAAGGTTTTTTAAAAATGTATATTATGCATTATGTGTGTGACTGCAGGCCCTTACAATGAGGTCCGAAGACTACATTCAGGAGCTGGATCGATCCCTCTGTTGTAAGTTCCAGGGGTTCAATTCAGGCCCTCAGGTTTGCTTTTACCTACCCAGCCATTTTACTAGCTCCCTTCTAGATATTTTATGTGAAAAAGGCGTGGTGGTTTGAAATAAAAGGACCCTAAAGGCTGTGGCACTATTAGGAGGTGTGGCCTTGTTGGAGGAAGTGTGTCACTGAGAGGGCAGGCTTTGAGATCTCTTTTGCTCAAGTTTCCCTCAGCATGACTGACAGTCAACTTCCTGTTGTCTTCTGGTCAAGATGTAGTTAGCATCATGTGTGTCTACATACCACCATGCTCACTGTCATGATGATAATGGACTGCACCTCTGAAACTGTAAGCCACAATCTCAATTAAATGTTTTCTTTGCAAGAGTTTCCGTGGTCATGGTGTCTCTTCACACCAATAAAACAAACAAACAAACACAAAACCCTAAGACAAGGACCAAGGGGAAAAGTTAGAAGGAGATACGGGGCCCACAGGAGCTGGTTGGAGACTAGTGATGTAATCTGTCCTGTGCTGGTTCCGGGTTAAGGAGAGGCAGAGTGGAGGCCCCAGGGGAAGATAGCCAGAGGAGACCAAGAGGTCTAGTGAGCTAGCCTTTCGTGGGGCAGTTAAAGGGACAAAGAAACACGAGTGGGAGTGGTGACAGGCCAGTGTTTGACCCTCATGGCCCCCATCCTCTCAGTGACATATGAGGAACTCCGTCAGCCGCCAGCTGTGGGAACGGCTGTGGGGAAGGTAGGAATGGCGGCAGCCCCTGACCAGCCTGAGATCTCTGTTGTGGAATGTATCAAATTCTGTAGCCAACAGTAGCCCCACGCGGCTGGAGAGAACTTTAAATGTGGAGAGTGAAGCTGGAGAACCACCCGTCATTTGATTTCACTGCAATCAATTTAAATTTAAATAGTGCATTTGGCAAAGTTGCAGGACACAAAACTAAGAGGCAGAATCCAGCTGTGTTTTTACACAGCAGCCGTGAACAACCTGAAAAGGGGAATTAGGGAAGCAATTCCACTTTCAAAAGCACCAGAAAGAGAGAGAGGGAATATATATATATATATATATATATATGCAGGAATAAATTTAACTCAGGAGGCGAAAAGATTTGTAGGCTCGAAACTGCAAAGCACTGCCCAAAAAAGAACTGAAGACGGCATAAACAAACAGTGGGACACCTGGTGTGCTGTGCATTGGAAAACAATATAATTAAGATGACAATACTTCACAAAGTGATCTACAGACTCAGCAGGGAAAGTCCTAAAGGCATTTTGCAAGAAACAAACTGAAAAACCTGAAGCCAACTGTGGCAGCGCACACCTGCCATCCCCGCACTGGGGAGGCCAAGCCCCAAAGCCACTTCGTGTTCAAGGCTACCTAGGGACATAGGCAGCACCTGTCTCAAAGATGCTAAGCCTGAGACTGGTGTCCTAGTCTGCTCTCCATTGCTGTGATACAACAGTGACCAAAAGCAACTGGGAGAGGGGAAGGTTTGACTGAGGGCAGGGGGTGAAGGGGGTTGGGCGGGAGGAGGACACAGGCAGGACCCAGAGGCTCCAGGGTATTGCTGGTCACTGGCTTGTTCTTCGTGGCCTGCATAGCTGCTTTTGGTACAGCCCAGGCACACCTGTCCACGGATGGCATTGCCCACAGTGGGCTGAGCCCGCCCACATTAGTTGGCAATGAAGAAAATGCCTTACTTTCCCACAGGCCAGTGTGAAGGAGGCAACTGCCCAGGTATGCCTAGGCTGGCATCAATTAACAAAAACTAAACATTGCACCTAGGGAGAGGTCTGCAGTTAAAGGTGCTTGCCACACAAGCTGAGGACAGAAGCTGGGATCTCCAGAACCTAGGTAAATGTGGAGTGAGCGTGGTGGCCTGCTTGTGTGATCCCAGCCTCAGAAGCAGAGATGGGGGAATTCCCAGATAGATAGCTACCAGGACTAAACTTATCAGTTGGCTCTGGGTTTGATTGAGGAACCTTGGCCCAGTGAGCAAGGTAGAGGAGCAATGAAGGATGATTCTAGACATAAATCCTAATGGCCTCCACATATGCATACACACATGCACACTTCACACACACGCACACATGCACGCGCACGCACACGCATACACACACCCCATGCCTAAATAGTCACATGTGGCTGGCTGTTGGATCAGTGCAAATTTTAAAAATAGAAGCCTTTATTTTCCTGATTGATTGATAGGCTAGTAGAAATGGGGCAGCTGGACGTGTGACTGCATGAGGACCTGAGCCTTGCTGAGTTAGTTCCTCAACACTCTGGGTTTCGGATGTGTGACCCAGGTAGCACAGACCCAGTCCCCTCTAAACCAGGAAGAATGAGAACATGAGAAGCAGAGAACCCTGACGTGGGGCACAGAGGCCTGAGGTCAGCGCTCAGGGCATCCTAGACAGGCCTTCTTAGGCGAGCTGACAACAATGTATCCATCCGTTTATCTCCGCAATTCTCTGCAAGGTCCGAAACAGCAGAGCACCTGCCCCTGAATAAGGCAGGCTGCTGGCGGGTGGCTTTAGAGAGAGTATTTAATAATTGATGGTGGTAGTCCATAGGCAGCAGTAACTTCACTGGCATGTTTGCGTAGATTATGGGAGATAACGAAAGAACTGAGCAGAATCTAGGACGAGGCAAGTGTGTCAAACATATTAGCTATTATTAGGAAGTATAAAATGAGGTCTAGGCTAGGAAAGTGTCATTCAAAGCCCTCCTGCTCCAGGAGGAAACCCCGCTAACAAGGAGCCCCCACCGAGCAGCCTTGGTGTAAGCACAGGCCAGCAATCACAGGGTCAAACTCAACGCACCTGGGAACCATACTCTTTGGGAAGCTCAAGGGTGCATGCGGGCGTCTCCACTGCCAAGGTCCACTTCCAGATGCACACTTTCTGCAAGGAAAGCACAGCGAGGGACTTCTGAGGCCGCTGGGGGTGCAAGGAGAAGCCTACGGCTATGGAAACCCTACCTGAGGCCTGGGTAACTGAGCAATGGAAGTTGAGTCCTAAGCATGCTCCCTTCCCTCCTCCCCCCGCCACTCTGCACTGTGAAGCCTGCTTAGCCTAGAAACACACACACTACACACACACCCCAGGTGGCCTGTGTGGAGGTGGCTGCAAAGACATCTGGCAGTGTTGGCCAGCTCAGAGACGTCCACCCAAAGGCCACGTTACCTGGATTTCGGCGTCAGAGATGGTAGCCAGAAGCTTGGCGTCACGGGTGATGGCTATTGACCTTATGCCATTACCTTCTGGACAGCTGTCAAATATGGTGTGCACTGGGATTCTGGAAAACAGGACAGAGGGGACGGCCCTTGCCGAGGGATGCCTGGCTTCCCTCCTTTGAACTCAGCCCAAAGCTTCCACAAACATAACAAAGTATGATCTCTCTAGGCAAAGGAATGTTCATGTCTACTTAACATTTGTGTCCAAATAATTTGATTTTATTTACATATATTTTTAAGATTTATTTTATTTATTATATATACAGTGTTCTATCTACATGTTTGCCTGCAGGCCAGAAGAAAGCATCAGATCCCATTATAGATGGTTGTGAGCCAGCATGTGGGTGCTGAGAATTGAACTCAGGACCTCTGGAAGAGCAATAAATGCTCTTAACCTCTGAACCGAACCATCTCTCCAGTCCTTGTGTTGTTTTGTTTTGTTTTTTGAGACAGAGTTCCTCTGTGTATTCCTGGAATTCCTCTGTATACCTGAGTGCCACCACCACCCGGCAATTTATTCTTTTTAAAATATTTATTTTATTTTTAAAATTATGTGTATGTGTGCACAGATATATGTACATGAATGGCTTGTGGAAGCCAGAGGCGGCATTGGATCCCATGAAGCTGGAGTTACAAGCAGGTGACCTGCCAGACATGGATGCTAAAAACTGAACTCTGCGCGAGCAGCCAGCCTCTTAAAGGCTAGGTCATCTCGCTTTTTAGACAGGGGCTTGCTCTGTAGCCCAGGATGGCCTCAAAATTATGATCCTGTTGAGTGCTGGGATTACAGCTATGAGCTAGTAGGCACAGCTGAATTGATTCATTTTTATTCATTACTAATGTATGAGCAAAGCATCATCATTATGCATTCTTCCGCAAGGAGAAAAGACGCACTGACACCTGCCACAACACAGACACACCCTGAGAACGTGACTCTAGTGCAGGAAGCCAGACACCAAAGCTCACATGCACACGCCCACAGAGAGGAAACAGACTGGCAACTGCCCGGGTGTGGGGGTGGGGGGAGAAGTCAATGCTCCCAGGGAATGGGGATGGGTAGACTGCTTTGGAACAAGGTACAGGTGACGACTGTGTAACACTGTGACCGAATGCCAACCCTCACTGTGTGCTTTCAGGTGCCCAGTTGTACACTGCTTGAACTTTCCTCAACAGTAAGAACAGGCCTAACTGGAGCAATGGGGTACGTGTGCTCTGTTCTCTCTTCAGGAGCATTCCGGCCCTCAGTCGCTTGTTCCCAGTTCTGATATGATGCAGGGCTCTGGCCCTCAGTCGCTCCCGGTGCTGATTCGATGCAGGGCCCTTTTGCCACACAGGAAGGATGCTGTAAGGTTTGAATCTGCAGTGTCCACAGAGCCCTGGCTGTCAGCTGATAGACTTTGGGGCAGTGACTGAATACTGAAGGCTTTATGCTCATAACGAATTAATCCCTAGAGTGATTCATAGCATGAGGGCTGATGGTAGAAACTGGAATGTCGTACTGGGGAGATGGCTCAGGGCTTAACCACTTCCATTGCAAGCAGGAAGACTAGAGTTCTGCTCTCCGGAACGTGCACATAAACACTGGGTGGGTGTGGTGGCCCACCTGGTAATCCAGGGCTGGAAAAGAAGAGACAAGGATCCCCAGAACAAGTTGGCTCGCTAAACTAGTCAAATTGGCAAACTCTGGGTTCAACTGAGACCCTGTGTCAGTGAATATAAGAGTAATAGACGATAGCTCCCCAAAGTTAATCTTTGGCCACTAACATATGAAACCCCCCCCCCCCAACATACACAAACAGGGTGAGGGAGACTAGGAAGTGGCCTTGTTTCAGGAAGTAGTCACTGGAGTCGTGTCCCAGCCCCTTCCTGTGTGCTTCCTGGCTAGTGTAGCATGAGGTAAGCTGCTATGTTCCAGTGTTCTCTGACTTCCAGGGCACCATGCTCTGCCTCCCAACAGACTCGGGGGGTGAGGGGGGAGAGGATGCTGACCATCAAACCAGATGACCTCAGTTTGATCCCAGGGACTTGCAGGGCAGAAGGAGAAAACCCACAAGTCCTCTGACCTCCACACTTGAGACATGGCACACCTGTGCCTCCCCAGTAAATGGATTGATAAAAATGTTTTAAAATGCAATTGCTAAGAGACAGGATTAAAACATTCTCCTTTAATTATTTTTTTGTTTTTATGTGTATGGCTGTTTTGTCTACAAGCATATCTGTGTACGACATGTGAGCCTGACACCCACGGAGGCCAGAAAAGGGCATTGGATTCCCTGGAACTGTAGCTACAGACAGCTGTGAGCCACCGTGAGCGTGCCGGGAATCAACCCGAGGCCTCTGGAACAGCAGGGCTCATACCCACTGAGCCATCTCTCCAGACCACAATTAAAATATTTTTTAAATGAGGTTTGAGCTGAATAAGTAACCAAAACATGTGGGGGGAAAAAAAAAACAATCCAAGTGAGAACAGGCAAACACAGGCTGCTCTGTCGTGTGGGCATGAATGCTCCTTCAGCCTTGTAAACCCCGGAAGAGATTCCCAACTACACAACACGGTCCTGGTTTGGAGAAGGGTGTAAGTGAGGAGACATTTTCCTGTTTTCACTTCCACACTCCTACTCTGTCCCTGCCAAGACGTCCCAACAGCGCAGTTCCTTCCCAGCCTTGACACACACGGGATTCAGTGAGGTGACATGTAAACACCGCTGGGAACCCATGAATGCCAGACACGACGGGAACAAGTGTGTGGGATTGGGAGGCCGCGGACTTAACCTGGGGGCAGGGGATCCAGAGGCAGCAAGACAGTGAGCTGTGTGGCGCCCCACATTTTCCTTCTGCAGAGGCCCTGTTACAGCCACTGCGAACAGTCCCCTGGTCACAGCAGTGTCAGCTGGCCGGGACAAAGTCCGTGCTCCACTGAAGGACACTGGTTCTCCGTCATTCGAGAAGCTTCAGCTACCTGAAATGCAGCCCTAAGCGTTCACATGGCAGGGAAAGGCAGCGCGGAGGTCACCGTGGGAGAAGGGGGCAGCTCTCACTTAGCAGGGAATGGCAGCTTGGAGGTCACCGTGGGAGATTAGGTCTTACCCCTTGCAAGCAACAGAACATCCAACTTGATCCTGAGGGAAAACTGACCCAAGCAAGAGGCTATCTATAAATGGAGGCTGCTCATTCATTTCCTGGCTGCCCAGATCCGAATAATTACACAGAAACTATATTAATTCCAATACTGTTTGGACAATGGTTCATGCATATTTCTAGCTAGTCTTACATCTTAAATTAATCCATTTCTATTATTCTGTGTATCATGATGAGGCTGTGGCTTACCAGGTCAAGTTCCAGTGTCTGTCTTTCTCCTTCGGCAACTACATGGTATCTTGCTGACTCTGCCTACTCTCTCTCTATATATCGCTTCCAGCCTGGCTATATTCTGCCCTGCCATAGGCCAAAGCAGCTTTATTCATTAGCTAATAAAAGCAACACATATACAGAAGGATATCCCACATCATCTCCCCTTTTCTGTCTAAATAAAAAGGAAGGTTTTAACTTTAACATAGTAAAATGACATATAAAAAAGTTATCAAACAAGAATTATAGTTACAATATTTAGTCCATTTACATTAAGCAAATTAAGAAAACTACTCTATCATCTACCCTATCTTTGTGAATCTAAAGTTTCATATCTAATTTATCTTTTATCATAACTAAGACAAACTATAACTATCTATTCTTCTACTCTTCAAAGACTCCAGAAGGATATATTACCTAAGTAAACAAGAAGTACATTGTAGGGGCTGGAGAGATGGCTCAGTGGTTAAGAGCATTGCCTGCTCTTCCAAAGGTCCTGAGTTCAATACCCAGCAACCACATGGTGACTCACAACCATCTGTAATGAGATCTGGTGCCCTCTTCTGGCCTACGGGCACACATGCAGACAGGATATTGTATACATAATAAATAAATTAATTAATTAAAAAAAAGAAGTACATTGTAAGCAACTTCTAAAACTCTAGAATTGACAGAGACATCTCATGACCTGGACAGTCACACAAAGTTCTTTTGTAATGTTGGGGCATCCAATCTTCAGCCTACAGGCCCATAATATCTGGCAGACATTTCAGTGAAGCAGGAAATTTAAATATCTGTTCTGTCTATATTGGCAGTTTGTCAGTCACTTTCTTCCGTGTCCTGCAGAATGTCTGGCAGCTTCTTCTGTGAAGCAGGAACCCTGAAGGACTATTCCATCTTTTGAAAAGTTCAACAGTCACTTTTTTGTGTGTCCAGTTCATACAGCATACCATCAAGCTGTTCAGGCAAGAGCAATTTCTTGCCCAAATGGCTAGCAAACTCCATAGGGAGCCTCTTTGATGCCCATCATTCTTTTGAAGTAGATTGGTGCTGCCAGAAGCAGACATGTCAAGAAAAGTCTAAGTCCTTAAAAATATTTTAAATGGGGGGCTGGAGAGATGGCTCAGAAGTTAAGAGCACTGCCTGCTCTTCCAAAGGTCCTGAGTTCAATTCCCAGCAACCACATGGTGGCTCACAACCATCTGTAATGGGGTCTGGTGCTTCTTCTGGTCTGCTGGCATACACACAGACAGAATATTGTATATATAATAAATAAATAAATATTTAAAAAATATTTTAAATGCCATATTCAGCAGGTCTTTGAAATGTTGAAGATTATCTATTCAGTTGAAATATATCTTTGTATACCTAGAAAACATAACTAATATAATTAAAAATTTGATTTTGATATTATCTGATTAATCTGTATTTCTTAACTATATATTACATTTTGTAATGAGCTGCACAAACACAATACCTTAATCAAGAGCAGAAATATATATACACAGTATAACAAAATCAACCTTAAATTTGTATCAATAGATCAAGATCCATACCAATGCAAAGTATCCATCTCTATATCACATCCCTCTTTAAATGAAAACAAACATTTATAAACAATCATTTTGGGAATTTGGGCATTGTTTTCTCCAAGCTGCTTCCTGCTGTTTGTTGGACCAAGTATTGGGGGGGGAGGAGGTGTTCACAATGACCT